CCCTCAGATTGCGAGTCGAGTGCCTTAACCACCTGGCCATGCCGGGCCCCATTACGTCTTTACTTTAGACTTATTATACCAACACTCACTATATTTATAAGGTTTCACGGCACCCACCTCACGGCCCTCCTGCTCCCCGTCACTAAAATCGCAATGGGCAGAAGTAATCGAACTATTCTATCTGGATAAGTACATTTTAGCTTTTATGACTCCTCCTATTTCGAGAATTCAGACGTGACGTGACACACACTGGCTTTTATGTAGGTTAGATTTTATGTGATCAAGCTATTAAAATTTAATAAATAGATAGTAGTAAAATTAGTACACTGTTACTGAACGAGAAACTACATTTGATATTAATTATATAATAAACCTTGGAATAGTTGTAAATATTTACTCGTCCTTAGTTTTAATACATTTATATTAACTTTTATATTATATTTATATTAACATTTATACATTAATTATACAGCATTGCTTTACCAGTGGCTAGGCTTAATGTTGAAAAGTACAAAAAACAAAAGTCAAAAAGTTAACTAATTATATTTCCCTTCCAAAGTAGCAAATATTTCAGATTGTGGGCGACAGCCTTGTCATTCTCACGTTTGTGGGGTTCGAAAGATTGTAGTGATAATTCTTTTTTTTTTTGGGGGGGGGGGGTAAATAAAATATGGAAATGGTTTTTGAATCACTGCCGCTGAAAAAATAGAAATATTTAACTTTTATTGCCTCTAAAATTTGTAAGGGTAATATACTTGTGTTACCTTGAAAGGATTGTGTAAGGATAGTAAGTTCCAAATTATAATTGTTTATTCCACCAAATAGTGTAGTAAAAATGTATCGTACTCCGATGTTTTTTCTATTTATTATTGTTTGCACTAATATATACTGTTATCCTTTATTTCAGGGTAAAAATCTGAATTTAGCACACGGACCTAAAGATTTGATGGTCATTATTGGAGGAAATATCACTTGTAATGTAACTCGTCTTACAAAAGAAATGCTTTGGTGTACTCTGCCTGCTCGTGACAGAAGTTGGATTTCAAAAAAACTCCAAAAAGTGGAGGTAATATTAGAAACTTCAAATTTTATCATGTATTACGGTTTATAAATAAAAAAAAAGTATTTTTTGTTGTATAATAAATCGATACTCATAAAGATCCATACGTAAAATTTTATATTTACTTTAAATATAATAAATCTATTAGTCCAAACAAATTCTAAGTTAAAATAATAAAAACAGCGACAAAAGCTTGTAATCAACGAAGTTAAAATGAAAATTTTACCCCTCCACATAGTTTAGTATTGCTGTAATGTTTTAGATTGTTGAACGGATCCTTTGGGATTGTTCAGTAAAAACAATATAAAGTACAGTCCACTTAATCATAATGAAAGCGTTTTATTTCTTTGATTACAAGTTCTACAAATTAATTTTTTTGTAAATAACTTTATAGGTCTAATAACTAACCCATCGTTCACTGTGCGATAATTTCAATTGCTTGATAATTGTTTCGTACAAACACTAATTTTTATACCTCTATTACTGTATCGCAAACACAACTCAAAACGTTACAAAATTGAACTAGATAACTGCCTCATAGTAATTTACACAAGTTACAGACTTATTCACTAGCTGATATACACTCTGCCAATAATTCACTAAGTTAAATGACTTACTCATTAATAAATAATCCATCTATTCTAACAGACGTTAGACTAAATGTTCGTGACGTGATGTGAAACTCCCTTCCAGGCAAACAACAATACAACAAATTTATATGCACGTCAAGATTAAAAATATAATCTACAAGAGTATGAAGTGGATTCATTGTCTGCTTGTTTTCAGCGCAAAGCTACACGACTGGATATCTGAACTGTGCTAACTGCAGGAACTGAACCTCCGTTTTTAATCTTATAAGTCCTGAAGCTTACTTCAGAGCTTCCGGGAAGCACAAGATTAATAATCATTTATTGATGTGTTGTTTATTTACATGTATGCCAACCAACGGCTCAGCGGTAATTCTGCGGATTTAGGACACTAAAATCTGGATTCGATACCCTTGGTGAGCATAGTACCGATAGCTCATTGTGTAGCTTTGTGCTTGAGTACAAACAAACAAACAATCACATGTGGCAAATTGACTGAGAATAAAAAATAAGGCCAAGAAGAATGCACGATTCTCAATTTCATATCTTATATCTGTTTATATCTGCATAACAAATATTTATTATTGAAAACAGATGTAGGCTTGCGATAATTTCTTTAAGCTTTTTTTGGGGCAAACCCCCCAAAACAGGGCCCTTGTCGTTGCATAGTAGAGGAATAGAAAATCTCGCATAAAACTTATTTCGAGTAGTAATTGTTATTATGAGTTTTTCCCGTTAAATCTCCTGATTGCTACGAATATAATGTTTTTTAATTCTTAATTACAGTGAATCAAATACCGTCATGTTCTTGTGTTGGTTTTACTTAACTGTATCATCATTTTTACAGTAAGTATTTGAAGAATAAGCCAGTCTCAGTATGAAAATATTCAATTATACATTTCGTTAAGTTATAACCATAAAAAATCCTTTTTCTTCGTCTATTTTAAACAATTCATGGCAATCAATATTAAAATATGCTTCTTTCTATGCATTGGTTTTGCTTGATATTTTTACTTGAAGTCCTTTACCTTGAACAACCCCCCCCCACCCCCCAGAGGCACAGCGGTATGTCTGCAGACTTACAACGCTAGAAATCGGGTTTCGATACCCGTGGTTGGCAGAGCACAGATAGCCCTTTGTGTAGCTTTGTGCTAAACTTCAAACAAATACCTTGCACAATACCGTTGTTTGAATGTAAAATTACCATCGTTACATTACATGGCTGTAATGTTAGATTGAAAGGAATAGTCAATACAGTACTAAGTGTACACACTTGCAATTTCTTTTATTTTTATTACCAGGTGCAAGCAGGGAAGTTACGTTTTGACATTGGGTATGTTAAGCATGTTGACCGTCAACCCGATGATAGGGGCACCATTATTGCTGCTGCAGTTATTCCGATATTACTCGTTGTTCTTCTGCTTGTTATCCTGATTGTTATTTTTCGCCGGCGTCGCCAAACAGCTAAGCAGCCTGGCAACTACAGAGTAGCCTATACAGCTGATCCACAACAGGAAGAAAACATAGCAACTACTGGAGATGGTCGCGAAATAAATGGTATTTAAAACAACATTTTTCACCTAACTTTGAAATAAATAGGTAATCAAAACTTATTTTAAGAGTACCTTAATATACACAGATAAATAACATTTGAAGTTTCGATATGTGTAGTGTTACTAGAGATATCTTGTAATGTACTTACTTGATTGTAGATAATTGCTTCATAAACTTTTATAGGTCTGATTCATATTGAAATGAGAGGAAATAAAACGTAATTTGACGTACAAACGTTTTCTTTTATGAAACTGATGTCACAGGATAAATTATAATTATGGCAAAAAAAAGCGTTGTATTAAAACATTTACCTTTTCACCAAGCATTAAAATACTTCCGTAGACTATACTACCGAACCTCGCAGACCAATAATAGAAGACACCGTGTACCAGATTGATGATGATATGTTACATCTCCTTGTAATAGAGAAAATTCTCGTCGACAGAAAGTATCTTAGTCTAGGCGAAGTTATCGGACAAGGTGAGTGTAGCATTCAGTTCAAAAGTTAACTTTATAATTTCGTAGATATTTTTATATGTATTTAATTTTTTTATAAATATTCTGTAATAAGTTCTATTATCCTGCTAAACGTTTATCAGCTGTTAATGATATGATGTTATTGTTAATAACACGCACGTGTAATAAACTCAGTAATTTATTAAACAAGCGAATAATTTATTAATAGATAATACGGCTGAAGGATTAAGTGTCACGATAGGTAAAGAATTACCCTTGATAAATAAACAAGAAAGCTTTATACAACCTAACGTAGTGGCTGAAGATCGTTATAAATATTTTGTGCAAGAGTTTCTTGGGATGATGAAAAATCTCTAACGATTTGCTGGATCATGAATTAGATAAACGTGCTACTTTGTTTCAAGTAGTATCTTGGCGGCAATCTGAAACACCTTGATATTTCACTCCAAATTAAACCAACTAACTCACACTTTCTAAACTCAAATTCGATTAAGAATTAGCTCACTCTGTAGGTCTGATATAATCCTTGCTAGATCCGGTTGCTTCTGGCTCAAACATCCGCACGTTAAGAAGACTCGCGAGTTCGAATCTCGCCACGTCATGTTTTTCATTTCCTCACAACATTAGCTAAGTCTTGAATTATGACACCTTGTCTGTTCTTATTGTGATCCTTTACGCTTTATAGATAAAATGAACATTTTTTTCCCCACTTATCAGGCCATTTTGGTAAAGTATATAAAGGTGTTTTGGAAGATACCAATGATGCAACTGAGAAAAAGGATGTTGCAGTGAAGACCTTACACAACAGTAAGTTCATATTTTGTAAAATTTTACCTGTTAATGTTTCATAATAATTAACTGTGAATAAACACCAAACCAGTAAACAGTGAGCATCACAATGCTTAGTAATCGTCATGGCTAGATTAAGAGCGTTGTAACAAATATGAATTATATGTCTTTGTTCTCACATTTTATTGATGAATTTTTAAAGTTTCCTAGGTGTTATTTGTAGTGAGTGAAAATTTTCTGTTTCGTTTCTTAAAATTCCAATCTGTATTTGATAAAAAGTATGCTTTAACTAAGTTCTAGAATGAATGAGTGCCCGCGTGAAATCCAATATTAAGCTTTTTGAATATATATATATCTATACAGAACACGGTGGTTAGGGCATTCGACTCGCAATCTGAGGGTCGTGGGTTCGAATCCCCATCTCACCAAACATGCTCACCCTTTCAGCCGTGGGGGCATTATAATGTGACGGTCAATTCCACTATTCGTTGGTAAAAGAGTAGCCCAAGAGTTGGCGGTGGGTGGTGATGACTAGTCTTACACTGCTAAAATTAGGAACGACTACCTCATGTAGCTTTGCGCGAAATTCTAAACAAACAAACTATACAGTACGCACACATTTATGTATATGTACTGTATATAGTTGCATACATAAAAGAATATAGCTAGTTATTTTGCTCTTTTTACATTTGTCTTAAGTAACTATTTTTCACTCTAATAAACAGCAAAAATTCATCACCTTATTTTTACTAAGCATGAATCACATTTTACATATTCCCCAAAATTAGGTGCAACAAAAGGTATATTTCTCATAAAAGTTCGACAATGTCAGGCCTGATTAATATGCTGTTTGTTTGTGTTTTTAGCATATAGCGAATACATTATAATTTGGACAGTAAGAATAGAAAATTCCAAATGTAGTTAACTGATACGTCTAGATTGCTTTTTTCCCAAGATTTTGATCACACGTAATGAAACTGTAGAGAACTGAAATCATTAGTTATGGACGACATAAAAGTTATATTATTTTGTTGCTTACTAATTTTGTAGAATAATCTAGACTTGATGGGATAGCACATAAAATCCAAACAAGTATTCAAATTAAGTGTTAATCGAGGTGAAAAGTTTTGACATCATATTGTATTTCTTTCAGTTTAACTAAAATTTTTCTCCACAAAGATTTATAACAAACATTTTTCTCACTTCACAGAGGCGTTGCTAGTTACTTAAAAGATTCGGGGCTCGGGCCCACATGCGCGGAAATTTTCGGCATTTCAGTACAATATCGATCATGGTTTTCTATTCTAATTTTTAAATTCACAAAGTGGGGATTCTGGGCACTATCAATTAGAATCGGGGCACGAGCCCCGTGTGCCAGTGCTTAGCGACGCCTCTACTACTTCACGAACTTAGTAGACTAGTAAGTACACCGATAAGGTTTATTTTTTAGGTATTGTTAAGTGATGTATCTTAAGATTCAATAAATTAACTCATAAAGCATCTTCTGAAAGTGGTGCCCGGCATGGCCAGGTGGATAAGGCGCTCGACTCACAATCTGAGGGTCGCGGGTTCGAATCCGCATCCCACCAAACATGCTCGCCCTTT